TGCTGACGATCACCCTTTCCCCTCTTCCTCCATCTGCTCTCTCTCTCTCTCTCTCTCTGAAAGCTTTACAACAGCAGCCGTTCGCAGCGACTGCTTGTGCCGTAAAGTCCTCCAACAGCCTGTGACCACATAGCACCACAGTTAGTGCGGTCTCCTTCAATCTCAACGGAGGAAAGCGCGATGATATCTCAGAGCTAACGTGCCGACGATTCAGTCAGGGGGAAGCAGAGCGCGCATACGTCAAATAACAGGTGCAACAAGATGGTGCAAAACCGTCACAGTTGATAATAACAAATACGTAAATGATGAGTTAATGGTAGAGTCATGGATATTTATGCTTTAATGCTGCATTCACCAGATTTTCGTTTTTTTAATTGTAACTCAGATATTTCGTGCAAAATGAGTTTATTGACGCAAAATGAAAAATGGAGGTAGTGATCTTCTCAACATTTGAATTACAGCTTGGTTCAGTGCGTTTCTCACTGTACAACTTGTGTGTGTCCACGTAACATTGTAGTGTGGCAGTGCAGGAATATCACTGTATGTCTACGGGTGCTTGTCCTTGTGCAACCATGCATTTTATCTTGGATGTGTGTGTGTGTGTGTGTGTGTGTGTGTGTGTGTGTGAGTGAGCGAGTGCTTGTGTGTCATTTGGTGCTGCTGCTAACTGATATGTCAGAAAATCAATTAATTACTTTTAAGCGGCAGTTAACTGCATCCGCACAATACACCCCATGAATTATAGACGAGGTGTGTGTACAAATATTGTGTGTGTGTGTGTGTGTGTGTGTGTGTGTGTGAGAGAGAGAGTCAGAGAGAGAGAATTGGCCGCTCTGTTAACTAGAGACAATCGGTAACTCTTCCGTCGCTGATCAATTGGTGTGAGCACTTCGATACAAATCTACTGAAGTGTCTGAACTGACTCACAGCATTTTTACTTTGTGTGTGTGTGTGTGATTAAAATATATAGTTTCTGGTGTTAACACGCAACAGCAACAATGCATTCAGGTAGATTAACGTTAGCGCAAACGTGATAAACTCTATGTTTAGCCTATGGCACAATTAAAACCTGTTTGAAGAAATTAAACAAATTCACCGTTGGTCCCGAAAACAACTCCCAACAAAAGAAATTACAAGCAAAGAGAAACACATGTAAATGTACCACCACTGACACTGTGAATGTCCAAATACAGTTTAACAACACATATTTGCACATGGGGGGTTTTTTTTTGGACAATTTAAGAATATTACTTATTAATTCTAGTGTTGCAAGAAAACTGCAGCGAATGCATGGATAAAAATAACAACTTAAAAGATTAGATTCACATAAGTACAGTTATGGATTGGAGTTCCACATTTAAAATCTTTTATTTTACTGTAATTATGCTATATTTTAGTGACACGCTATTTTTATGTGGCTATAAAAAGTCTGTGTAAACGTAGAACTTGTCTTTTGATTGGGACTGATCCAACTATCAGCCTAAATAGCTAACGCTATTTTACAGCTTTTTGATTTTGAACATGAGTGGATGGATTTATAAAGAGAGGGATTATTCTTTAAATTGTGTGAAGCTGTGAAAGGTGCTGATGAGCAACCAGAGGACGTCTCCTTTCCCCCCCCCCCCGACTCTCTCCTCACCTCTATTGATCCCTCGCTCAGGGTGGCAGCGAGTGCGTGCGAGTGTGTGTGTGTGTGTGTGGCATTGATCCTCACCATGCCACTGTCACTGGCCTCAGGGTGGCCTTAACTCAGGGGACGACGGGGACAGACAGCCGCTGGCAGAGAGAGAGAGAGGGAGAGAAAGAGAGAGACTCATCGTGTGTGTTTCTGTAAACTTTAAATCCAAACACGTGGCTCATTAAGTATAATATCTATTATCAAGACATGCCAGGTTTCACACTGAAAGCATGGCGTCACATGTGAAAAACAATATTTTCAGAAAGTTGGTACATTAATGTATTCATTTGTCATTTTGTCACGTGCTTGTGGTTCAAGTTTTTTTTTTTTCTTTCCCAGACACATTTGAAATCTTTATAAACACAACACATTACTAATTTAATTTCAACGATGGAGTTTACCGAAAAATAATCTCCACTACACAGTTATTTTTTTTTTTGTTATATTACTTTAAATACATTTTATATTCATTATGATTTACCTAAGTTTAATTTAAATACATATAACAATAAACAATTATATAACTTGTAGGACTTGCATCCTTAAATGAAACATGAGCGGTTTCAGGAAGACCATTACATTAACACCAGAGACTCATCAACCCAGAATTTAAATCTCAAAAATGGTGTGTTTATATGACAAATTGTATTTTTTGTCATTTAATTAAAATCTGATAAACCAGTTCAAAGTCCTTATTATGAGACCTGTCACCACTACAGACTGTACACTGACCTTTTTCCATTATTTCACTAATGTTCCCGGCATTTTATAATATTTCTTTGCTTAGCTTTTCTTACAGTCATCACATTGTGAATGATCGAAGATAGACAAAAAAAAAAAGGAAATAGAAATAACTTTAGAAACATATAAAAACAAGTATTCTTCTGTGGCTGCACGTGTTAATGTGAGAGAATCAAAGCCAAGTAATAAGTGTACACGTACAGAGAGTTGTGAGATACTGTTTTTAAAGACAAAAGAAAGGTTTTATCTGCTGTTCTATTTTTTATATCCATTTTCTCTTTGTCACTTTAACTGAGAGCAAAAGTGGTATTTTGCATAAAAAATACAAACTGTACAAGATTGAGGGAAAACGCGGCCCATTCTGCTGAACAAAAACACACACACACACACAAAGAATACGCTTATTTAGCTTATGTAGACTTGGTTTTGGCGCAGTAAGAACACACACACCTCAGACAACCACTGTGGCTCACCGTAACCCAGACGCGCACACACACGAACACACGAAAACCGTCGGTCTGAGGTTGTCACTGAGGGTCGCAGGGTGCTGTTGCTCCATCCCTCACATCCACACTCCATGTCTCACTCACACACACACTGAGTTCTGTGGCGATATCACCAGCCGAAGGGCCTGTGGGAGAGTCACTCCGGGAATCTCCCTGTCCGCCAGTGTGCGTGTCACAGTGGTCACCTTGAGGTTTGACCGTGTCTCTACCAACCGAGAGCAATGGATCTGTGAGCGGACGTGCTGGGTTTTCATCGAGATAGAAAGGTTCCGTTTCTAGGCTTATGTGTGGATGGAATTCTCCATTTGTTTCTGTATTTTTTAAATAAAAGTTTAATAAGAAAAGCAAGAAATGACATTCTACTGTAGTCTACTGCATTTCTGCAGTTTAATTTAACAATAAGAAAGACAACTGCCACTTATATTTGGTTTAACCTGACCTGAGTAACTGTTTTTGTAAAAAACAAATATGCATGGACCGTCAGATTAATAATAATCAGCACCAAAATAGTTAAGACAACCATATTATTCAATAAAATCTTTGTCAGAAGATCATGAACCATTTGGGTTTCGGCATAATATTATTGTCTTCTGGCACACGTCAGCTAGCATACATTAAACCAAACTTAAAGGCTCCTGCAGTTTCTGTTGGACGTCTAAGCTTTGCAGCTGCGTGTCTCTCCCGCGCGCCTCTGTCCGTGTCTCAGTTCCGAGGCGGAGGTGGAGCAAAAAGCAACAGAAATTACAATGCCACCATTACTTGTTGTTTTTAGAGCAAGCATGCATTATTGAAATTGGTAATTAAAAAGGACAGTACTATGTGAGATAGTCCTTAGGTGCTGGTGTTGCACTCTCTCTGTTTCCCAATCAGGGGCCACCTCCTCTGGAGGACTCGGTCTCGCAACAGAGCCGCGGTTGGACATGACGAGAAAGTTTCACCGCAACTTGTTTCTGAACATGTGTGCCGTTTAGTTAAGTTGAAACCTTAACGTTTTATCGTTGCTTTAAACAACTGTTCTTCATTGAAGAGCATTTTAGATCACTCTTTTAAGAACTGAAGGATGTGGCCCCTGAGTTGAGAGCGTTACAAGTATTCCTCTTCATCCAGCACAGCCTGGGGAATTCAGACTCGGACTTATCCGTGAGCTGGTTCTAGAGAAAGAGTCTCCAAAAGCCATAATTCCCAATACTTCTGCGGCAAATCAATCAGTCTGCTGTGAAAAAAAAAGATGTATAAGTACATTTAAGATTGTACTTTTTGAGCACACAGTTAGCAAATCAATTTCACGCTAAAAAAAAGTTTCAAATAATGTTGCATGGTGAAAAAAATCCACATCCCTGTCAAACAAAAACTCCGATCCCTCAAGTGGGTGACCTCAATTTTCAAGTAGAACTTCCAAACAGTGAGGAGAAGAGGGAGGGGGAGGCGGAGGGAGGGAGGGAGGAGGGGAGAGAAAATCATTTGAGTAGCTAAATGAAAATTAGCAGCTTTAAAGAGCCTGAGGGCAAAGTGGAGCCGTGTCCCCCATGGCTACGCTTTAAAGAAGGAGGGAATGAATCAAGCTTGACTGGATCCTCTGCTGCTTCTTCACCTCCTCCTCCTCGCCGCCCTCCCTTCTCACTCCCTCGCTCTTCTCTGTTTTTTACTAATAGCCTACATGGGGAGAGATGGGGGGGGGGATTGCTGAGGAGATGAATGAGGGGTATAAAAGCAGTTTGTGAAGGTGAGGACAAGCTGGAGCTCTTCTTTGCTGATTTTTCTCACCCTTCTTTTGGGTTACCATTGAATTCAAGTTTTGGACTTCGGACATACAACTTAAGAAAAATCAAAATAATTTTCCTTCCTTCTTCTTTTTTTCCTGTTCCTCTGTTTTTTCCCTTATTATTATCATTATTATCATTATTATTATTATCATTATTATTATCATTAGTAGTAGTAGTATTAGTATTTTATTATTTCCCTTGATGCCCTCTTTTCTCTCCATTCTGGCCGTTGGAAGTTCGGCTCCAGCTGTTGCTGCTTCCACACCCAGGATTGAAGCATGAACCCTGGGGCCTTCTCCAGCTCTGGCCCCCTGTCTTGGGCCATGTACCTGATGAGGAAAGGCCGGACAGGCAGCGGACTCTTTGGTAAAGCTAATTCTTCTTGACACCCTGTGGTCGTTACCGTCACCATCACGCCAGTTTCTATTTCCCATTTTTCATTGCACCGAGCATAAACTACAAAATAAACGTTTTTGCCAATTTTGCGACCATGAACATCCAATAATCCTCCAAACCCTCAGATATTCTTTTATACATTGAAAACTGTCGTGGTCACGCCATCATCGTTGCACTCTTCCATTATACTCATCCCTCCCTCGTTCACTGTTTCATGCATTCAGATGCTTGCTGTGTTGTTTGTCTTCTAACGGCTTTAGAGGTGCACAACTCTCGTCTGCAAAACCTTGTGCGTTTGCTATGGTTGAAATATCTTGCAACACGTAGAGTTTGGAAAAAGTGAATGTAGATCTCTATATTGAAATTGAGAGGGAGAGTTTTCTCGGAGGAGTTGTATACAGGGAACCAGGAGGGTTTGTTCAAGTACTGGAAATGTGTTGTCTGGTTGTACTGGGTTGTTGATAAGGCTATATATGCTATAATACACAACATGAAATGTAGTATAATGCTAATTATTGATGTTTTGGGACGGACTCGTGTTGCTGCCTCATCACCTGGACACACGTTTTCTATGTTTTGATCGCTGGTCACACAATCAGTGCAGTTTCACAGTTCTTGTCCTTGAATATTTGGAATATTGTGAATATTGTCTATTTGCAAATAGATAAGGAGAAAAAAACAAGAGAGCATTTATTATTATAATTAAAACAGCAAGTTACAGAAATATGTTGGTATAAAAAATATCTTTATACTTGTGTAATCACTACAACAACATATTATTTTCATTCTAATTTCTGCATTTGATTCATTTGAGGCCTTTTTGATCTTTATCTGACTGAATCCCAGATGACACCATATTTCTACAGCCGCTGATAATATGAGCAGAGCTGGTATCAATAACTTTGATAGGTGATTGTGCCTGGGTATTGATTATGGATCAGGGGACGCGGCGCGGCTCACATTACGAGGCAGTCAGTGGGAGAAGCTTGCGGAGTGAAATCCAACTCCACTCCCTCTGTTGTGGTCTTTTCTCTCTCTCTTCTCTACTTCACTGGTCTCTATACACCATTACAATATTTCCATTTGTAGCATTTCCCCTTATTCAATCATTTAATGGTAAAATCCGTTATTATACATAATGAATTAATATTAAAATTTCAGATATTTTGTAGAAACAGGCTTTTTTCTTGAGAACAGTGAATATAATTCACGAGTTGCCGTTTCTGTTGTCGGTACACTTGGCGTAAGGCCTGAAATTTCCATAGATATACAGTTACAAAGCATCCTTCAGTATTTGAATTATTTATAATGGTTATACTAGGAATAACTGCCCAGTGTCAGATCTAATGACGCTTACTTTTATGAAATTGCAGTTTTAGCGTTTCCTGCAGGTTTAACATGTTGGGCTTGAAGAAGAAGAAAAACAGCAATGTGGTGAATATATAGAAAATATATTCATCATTCAACTTAAAGGAGGTTTTTTATTTCTACACAAACATCTAGAAATGAAGTTATTATATTCAGATTAAGAGAAAAAGAAAGGATGAACAGGCCTTTGACGAGGAAGGGAAAAATAGATATTTCCGAGGGCAAATCACATCAAGTCCATCTCAGGCCAATACGAGAGCGGAGGCGTTTACATTTTTTATCATCCCCCTTTGGCTACAAGAGCTACACATGCAGAGGCAGACTGGCATTTCCCTAAAACTCATCCGACAGCTTGTTGATTTAACTTAAATCAAATGGACTGACTCCCAACAGGGCCTCACTGAAAACAGGCAGGTGCACAGCATGCTGGGTACTTAACCTATAACCGGTAATAGTTTGTTAAGTTTGGTGTTAATGGAAAGTGCAAGCATTACTTCTATTATTTTAAATCCTCTGTTTCTTGTATTTAAAGTCACACGTCTTATTATTATTGTTAGCTTTAAAGAAATATTACAAACGCGATCTTCAGCAATTTAGATTTGTTTTAATATCAACAATAATATCTGTATAATATTGTGTCCCCAACAATTTCAAAGATTATATCTGTCCAATCAGGTGATGTGCAGTCAATCATGTGACCCATGACAGAAATTCAGATGAGCAACAATAAATCTTTTTTTAAAAATAAAGTAAGAATCTTCTGTTTAAAGCAGCGACAACTTTCTCCTGAAAATGATCCATGTAACTGCAACAAAGCAAATATCTTGGGTTAGAAACCAAACTGCTATCTGAAAATGTATATTATTTACATAACAATATAATATATAACAATATATATTATCTGATCTTATATATAACCTTGCATTTAAAGCCTCTTGTAGGAACTCCAGCTTAATTAAACTGGAATTAGACTCTTGCAGCATTTGAGAAAGATCCTGGTCTAGTTTAATACAGACAGAGTTCACAGTGACTCAGACAAAACATGTTTGTTCTTTGCATCCTCATATTTAGTTGTATATCATGGAGTGGCGACTGTGTTTGTAACTCTACTGTATACCAGTTTATAAATAACACCAGTGCTTGGGTGGTGAAAATGGTTTAAATTGTATATTCACATTAGATGTATGACTTGAAGCAGCAATGGATTAAATGGACATTGAGCTTTATCAGGATGCATTGTGGGATGCAGAGAAAACCAACCACTGCACGTCTTCATCTCTCAGTTGTTTGTTGAAAGAGTAGCGCACCATAAAAGCTGTCTGAAGCTCCGCAGTGTTCGCTCGTGATTTCATTTTTAGATTCAAACTATTTTTTTCTCTCATTTTCACTATTGTGCCTCAAAAAAGAAAACTTCGACAAAGAAAATGTGTATTGTTTGTTCGTTTGTGACGTTAATTATTTCACAATTATAAATTTTTGCTGTCAGTGAATCAAAACTAAGTCAGAACAATAATGTGAATAGTCAGTAAATCAATTATTAAGGGATTTATTAACTTTAAGTATTCAAAAGATGATGTATCAAAAAAATAATTTAATTAGTGTGTTATGTTTGTTCACTTGTAATTTTGAATACATCTGGAAATATGACACAGATAAAACTGGATTGATTGATTTAACAATTTAAATTCCTCATTGACTAAGACTAAATATATCTGTATATGGGAGTTAAACTGAAACGCAGCTCTAAATTACGATTAAATAACCGTAAAGAAACAACCTAAAGAGACAAACTAAACAGGCCAGGAGTTTAAAAAAACCAAATGAGACCACCTGAATGGGAAACAATTATTTTATAATATGCTTAAAAAATCAGCAGCCAGATAAAAGAGGACACAGCTTCTCCAAATAGGACTAGAATCTACAAAGTGGACCACGTTTACAATTATTATATATTTTAGGAAATAAAAAAGAACTCCTTAAATCAGTTTGTTGGTGCTGTAGATTCAGTCATTCGTTATAGGCAGGTTATCCGTGCCATGATGTAGATCACCTACTGCCCTCTATTGTCTATATGTGGTACTGGCATCCTGGTCGAGTTATTGAGGCTTTTAGTTCCAGAGAATTGACTGGAAATCAAATGGTGTGAGACTTTTCTTTCCAAGGAAAATGCTGGATAGCGTTAGAGTTTGAATTAGTTGTGGGAAAAACATCTGGATGAGGGAAAGAAGAAAAGTTTTTGCATGAATATATTGAGGTTGGGAATATTAAGAAATTAATTTTTCCCCATAAATTCATCTTGCAGGAATTCTTGTGAAACTTTCAGACGCTGTTTTCCGCATTAGACCTAAATTCGCTGTTCCTCCGAAGCGCAGGAGGAAGTGCGCCTCCGTTCTCTCTCCGCTTCTTTCTCCCCTAAACCCCGCCTCCTGTCGGACGGACGCACCGCTGATTGGTCAGTTCCCCTCTAGTGACAGCCAGCGGCGAGCCCCTCCATTGGCTAGAAGCTGCCCGGCGCACAGATGAGATGCAAATCCTCAGCTCTGCCAGTAAAAGGCTGCCGCTGTGCACAGGGTTATCCACTCATCCAGGCGCAAGAGGGGTGAGCAGAGAGAGTGCGTAACGGTATATCCGCTTTAAGCTGCTCTGTTGGAATCACAGAGAACAAACAAAGTTGGTTTAAATCCATTCCCTCCTCATCTTTTCATCCTACTTGTTCCATTTCCTTTTACGCGCGACGCCAACCATGCGTGGACGCGTAATTTCAGCTGTGCCAGACGGACCTCTGATGGCTTTTCAGAAAGTACCACATGCTTCAAAGTGACCGCTGTTTCCACCCTGCACGGAGAACAGGAGCACAACTGTGTGAACAACTCGAGAGCTGATTTTGGGATCGTGTCTCCAAGAGCTTTTACGCACAAGGGCTGGAATCTGCGTCTGGATAACGCGCCGCAACTCGTCCTTTTTTTTTTTTTTAATGGACAGATAACAACGTGTGAATTTACCGACAAATCCAAGGGAAACAAATCTTGTGATTTAAAGACCAGGACACGAGCGGGATCATAGAGAAGATCGGGGAAGTTGAGTATCTGTGGACGCACTGTGGCGCACAAATGGTGTTTCTGTGGGACGCAAAATACGGTACAAGTCATTTCTCTGACTCCCTCTTTCATTTCTTTCAACAACAACTTGTGTCGTTGAAGTCACAAACATCGCCTCCATAAAAAAAAAAACGTTATGAGTGCACAAGATGGGAAATGAACACAAACTCGTTGATAATCTCCCTCGTCTCTGTCATTACGCGCTGGTTTCCGGAACAGGGAAATTTCATTTTGAGTCATCATATGCGAGTCATCTGCCCATCAGCATAACAGCTTCATGGTGTCTTTGATCTTTTTTCATTTATAAAAGAAAGATAAGACAGAAAGAAAGATAGAGTCTCTTGTGTGTGTTGGCAATGTTGTGTTTTGTGGATTTGATGTGTTAGGAGGTTATAAACTGCAGGTATTTTATGAATCACATTTTTTTTCAGGCATTACATTCACATTAATCACAGGCTCAATTTTAACATAAAGTACACAAACTACATGTGATGCTGTTATGAAGCAATTAGACTTTTAGCTCGAGCCTTTGTTGTGAACCCATGTGGAGTCACTTACTCCACATGATGTTGATTTATATCTTTGAAATAAAAGCAAACTTCATTAACATGTTATCTCAATATTACATTTGAAATCATTTTATCAAGACAAACATGATGTGCAAAATTTATTTTTTGTTCATTTTCCTTCAATTTAAAATGAAATTCAGTTTCAGTCGAAAAGTCAGTTTACTTCCAGCACGGATGACTATGGCTGGAAGCAATACAGAAGTATACACTGTAGATTATACACAATGAACACAGCGAGGCATCACTGATGTTAGTATAATCATCTAAACAGATCTTCCATTGAATTGTCCACATCTCAATTTGATCTATAAATTTGATTTTGACCTAAATGACAGGAATTCACCCGAGACGTTTGTGGTTATTTTCAATTTGAAATATCTGTGGGCTCCACACACACACACACACACTGAAAGATGGAGGTTGCATTAGTACAGTGTGGAAGCATTGAAGCATTGGGAAGGTTTCAAACTGTAAACTAAACTCCAAACCGCCAGCATGTGGCTTCAATTGTGGGTTTTGGCTGACTGACAATGCAACAGGGTTGATTGATACTGCAGAGCGACAGGCAGGCAGACAGACTGGCAGACAAGTGTTGCTTTTCATTCCCTTTCTACATCCACCTCTCCGACTTGATGAGGTTATGATGTTTTTATGTTACGCACACTGTAACTCTGATATTCGGCGTAAATCCTCGATTTGTTTTCTGGAACTTGTGCCACTTCTCTCACTGTTATTCCTTCGAAGAAGACTGTGTGCAGGAGCGCTGCCGCCGCTGTCTTTAGTTTCATGACTCCACAGTCTGGTATTCAAGTCAGTGTGACCACGTTGTGTGTCATCATGCACTGTATATAGGTGTGTGTGGGGTTGAATTACATCAGGGTGGTGTGTTATGTCTTATATTATACATCCTGTTTGTTCATTTCACAGTTTAATATTTTCAGACTGAAATAAGAATTAATTTACAATGAACACAATGAATTGCTTGTGATTATTGTTCATCATCGATGCCTTTCTGGTTTTATTTGACTATCAAATGCAGAACATTTACAATTCAGAACCCCACATCATTCCATTATTGTTCGTATATTTTTTTAATCATAGAAAGTAATATTATAAATAGCTAAATATCCAACGATCCAGCTATTTTATAGTTGATTAGCTGTTTCATCTCCTGTGATATTTGTCAAACACCTATGAATTAACCTAATCGTCTCTGTTCCTCAGACCCAGCCCCTGGCCGGCGTTACACTCCCCCCTCCACCACTCTCGCCTCTGGGGGGAAGATGGCTGAGGCCCTGCCCCTGGGGGCCCAGGAGGCCGGAGGCGGGGGCTCTCTGATGGGCAAACTGCGTATGGCGGACCGCGGCATGGTGGAGGTACAATAGCATGAAATAAATTGATTATAACATCAAGCCGAGTGTCCCCACATCTAAAGCATCGTCCCAGCTCCCAGTTGGTGTCTTACAACAGTTTGAAATGAAACTGTGATGGTTATACAGGTGATCTCAGATCATCCAGGAGAGCTGGTGAAGACGGACAGCCCCAACTTCCTCTGCTCCGTGCTGCCGACACACTGGAGGTGTAACAAGACTCTGCCCATCGCTTTCAAGGTGTGTACGTCAGTAGCCGCACGCAGCCCTTATCAACCTTTGTTGTTTAATCGGACACATTAACATCGGTGAAAAGTAAATTTCGCAGTTTATCATATTCAATATCGAGCCACTTTTGCTTGTCTTTTTTAATTGTGTGCTACTTTATCCACGCTACTGCTTTCTTATGACAGCTGTTACTTTACATATCAAGATCTAAAATGTATGATTAACTGTGACAGACAAAAAAACTAACAGTATTTGATTTTTGCTAAAAAAAACATCCACTGTAATATAGATGTAATAACAAATATATCTGCTATCAACAGCTGTCAATAAAAGAACAAAAAAACTGAGGATCATACGACTACTGCTACTCCTTATAATAATAATGAGGATAATAATACGAAGAATAATAATGATAATAATGGCATGGTCAAAAATACTACCAGGAACAAAACAGGCAGATGATAATAATAACCATCATGACGCAGAAACTTTGATGAGAACATTCACGTTGTCTTCCCTTTTGTATCGACGTACGTGGATGTGTTCAGCTTCCCTGCACTTTAAGACAGAATGCCTCTGTGGAAAAGCAGCTTTTAGCCTCAGAACACGCAAGCGATTGATTTATTGAGTTTTACGCATTAGTGTTTTCACATGCACGTGTGTGTGTGTGTGTGTGTGTGTGTGTGTGTGTGTGAGGGAGAGTTTGGTGCATTATGCATCATTATGGAGTATCATGAGCGGATGTCACTGCCTCTTACTGATAATGCATGACTGTTATGACGTGCACGCACACACACAAATATATACACTTTTCATGAACATGTGTACATACAGGATAACACTTAAACCATAGGTTAGCGCACACACACACACACACACACACATAGCTCTCGACCCAAGAGCATCATAATTGTTTCCTTAGTCTTGTTTACTCTGCTGGGCTGGTTTCATGCTCCATTGCTGGCAGTCTCACTCTCATCCGCTGGACACGTGTGTGTGTGTGTGTGTGTGTGTCCTCTCCCACTTTATGAATATTAAGTATTTCCAGGTCAAAACCCATATTTTTAAACTTTGCAAGATTTGTATCCAATCATACTGCATCGTAAGCTTTGCTCAGTAGTCACTGTTGGACCACTGGAACATATTAGTGAGATAGAATCTCCTGAATATGTGGAGTGAACAATGCTTTTGTCAGACTTCAAGAAAAACAGCAAGGAGGAGATCGAGGTCGAACCAACAGGTCCATCAGTAGTGTTCCATTTTGACACTGGGATTGTGAGCTGTGACGACTCAATAGCAGGGTTGAAACGATACCATCCATAGTATCCAAAGCAGTCATTTGCACACTGATGGTGTGGTGTGATTAGCGTTAATATGGAAATCAACCTCCCTGGCTCTACATTTGCGTAGTTGCAGGAGAATGTGCTCTCTAGTGCGCTGAGCAACACACGTTTCCAGTCGTCATGTGTTCGGGGAGTTTTTTTTCTGCACGGGAAAGGAACTGACCTTTTATTTTCTACTTCACGTCTTTGACATGTTATTTGTACGGTTCAGCTTCTCGGTGTGAAAGGGGCGTGTATTAGAAAGCATAGAAAGAAACACATTAAACCCTAATTACAGATTCTCTAAACTGCCCTGCTGGATGTTTTATATTTTACGTTAAGAAGTCCGTACTAACAGCGAATGCAGTATGACTTCCCATCTATCTACAGATTCCGCAAATATCTGAAAACTGTCCATCTAATCGACTTTGGCTGTAGTTCCAGAACTGAACCAATGTTTGGGTTATTCTGCTTTAAAGCCTGAAGGTACCGCCGTGTCCTTGTGGTTTATGGGAGATGAGATGCAGTGAGGCAGATTTGGGATTAATAACGTGGTGTGAAGTCAGCAGAGCTTTGGTTCTTCTGCACGATATCGAAGAAAGTACTGGACAAAGCATACAAGTGCATTTAGCGAGTAAGCCTGATATGTAAATATGGATCACCTGCTTCACCCTTGAATTTATCTTTCAATAAACTTGGAACACGAGTCAAAACAAGATACTCTACTACCCATGAATATTTTTACAATCAGAATATGTTCGGGTACACTGTTGAGACTTACTTAAATGGGAAATCAACTTGAAACAATAAAAAACGAGGCGAGCATGCCTCCACATCCGCAGACATCTTCCATCCCCATCTACCTCGAAAAACTCTATCTTCTCTCTCTGTTTTCTTCCCTCCCGTCGCAAGGTGGTTGCCCTGGGCGACATCCCTGATGGCACCTTGGTAACGGTGATGGCAGGAAACGACGAGAACTACTCAGCAGAGCTCCGCAACGCCACGGCTGCCATCAAGAACCAAGTGGCTCGGTTCAACGACCTGCGTTTTGTCGGCCGCAGCGGAAGAGGTACACACACACGCGAAAACACACATCCACAAAAACAATTAAAAACATCGATACAGATTTTGGCATGTTTAGACACATATGAGCTACAGTGGCATCAGTCCACACAGCGAGGATAGTAGCGTCCTTAAATGTCTCACGCTAGTTGAAATATAATATGTGTGTTTTGCACAATGGCACAACACAGCGGTGATAAATTAGGGGAAGTACACGTGAATAAAAACAGTATTCCAGTATTCACGCAGCTTCCTCGTAACACCCCATTCACCCCCCCCCCTCATCTCAACGGACACACTACACCACAGTTACTCTAAATCGGTTGCAGGCAAATGTCCCAACTTATCTATTTAAAACACTAGTCCTGTGTACACAAGCTCTGCTAGCACACACACACACACACACACACACACATTCACAAACGTACAAAAGCATGAGGAGGACTCCCCAGTTTACTGTCGTACAGGAACAACTGACTATATTTGTAATTTTTTCAACAGCAGGGCTGTGGAATCTGTCAAATTCATGTGCGGGCAATTCAAATTTAGAAAGTTGAGACGCGCACATTTGTTTTCATGCAAATGTCACAGCAGAGGCAACAATGGAGTTCTTTCTCCCAGCATCACACAGACGTAATTTAAGATACAGAATTAATTGTTAATTTTCCGGATAATAGATAATGCATATAACCGACACCTCTGAGAAACACATCGCTGTAATAATTAGCTATACACTCTGTAGCCAGTTTATTAGGAACACTTAATTAAAACTAATGCGGCCTTACACAACAGCCCTACAGTAGTTGTTGATCTTTGAATCTTAAGTGGTACTACTATGACCCGATGCAGTCTACATGCACCACGCTGTATCTTTTAGAGATTCGGCTGACCTGGCACTATTTTATACAAATTGTAATTTGTGAGAAAATAGTTTGGTGTCCAGACATGATTTCAGTATTCCAAATAAAGACCACACAGACGTGGAGGAAATTGCTTCTTGTGGAGGAAGACATTTCTAGTAGTAGTCAAATTCAAGAATATAGAAGTTTTTCTTCTTCTCCTCAAAATATTTGGACTCTTTTTTATTCAACGACGACTTTATTCTCGACATTCTTCTCATATGGCCATATTACTCCATCGTAATGAAAAGATCCACACCAAAAGTATCTCTCTATACCCTTTGACTTTCCCACCCTGTGTGTGTCTCTCAACGCCTGCTGTTTTGAATTTTAAATCTTTAACAACACCTCATAAATACACCCAGTGCAACGCTGTGGCTCACTGAGGAAAATAAGAGCCACGAGACATAAGGGATAAGACGAATGACGGTTCAGGAAACACATATACCTCCTGGATGATTTGGTTTGGGTTCTGCACGTGGGATTTATTGATTTCAGAAGAATACAGGATCTCATCTGACCAATCCTGTCTTTTGGCTTACCGCTAGTGTCTGACCTCTGCCTGCTGTGTCCCCCTCGCATGATGTAATGGCTCGGATGAAATTAAACGAAGAGTCAAGGATCCTGTTTTTGTTTTACATTGCGGGTTTTTATTGTGTCAAGTGATAAGAGGCCACATCGGCCCTCATGCTGTGCACAGATTCAACAACCCCAAACCGTCATCAACTGTCCGTGCAGGAAGTGGTTAGTTCGGCAGCCGACACCAATGAGTGGTTTAGCGGTTTGACTAGTGGTTTCCCTATGTGTTTCTCTGTGTGGGTTGGCGTTGTCAAACTTTTTCAGTGTTCCCTTTTTGTAAAAGCGTTTAGTTACAAGTCTCTCTCACACACAGATAGTGAGACACTCGTGATTTGTGCAGTATTTATACGGGTGTGAAAGCGAATAAATCCGTTTGGTTTCGTCGTTTTACCTCAAGCTAACACCACCGGAATTAGTTGACAGCACCAATGAACACCTGTATTCCAAAACTCACTTTGGATTCTTAAAAGCACACAGTCTCATTTAGTTTCAAAATATTAACAGTGTGTGTCTCAAACGCAAAAGTGGAGCTGAAGCTATAATAGTTTTTACTTGTGGTGATTCAACTATGATCATTCTGGAGGATGCTCTTTTTCAATGCAAGCATGCACCAGCCACTTTTGGTAGCCACTACATCTGCAGATATTTTTAATGCAACTATACTACTCCTTACTTTAATCCTGTGGATGAACATTACTTGTCACATCTGTACTTTATATATGTATTTATTATTCACCCCAGGGATTAGAGTTAAATGGCATTTCAGTCCTGTCTATGTCCCATATATATGGCAGAATAGACAATGAAGTTATACAGTATATAATACAGTATATATATATATATAGAGAGAGAGAGAGAGAGAGAGAGAGAAAAGGAACGCCTGTCCACACAATGTAGCATCTATCTGTCACACACGCATTTGTTGTTTATAGTTGTATCGATGCAAATGCAACAGCAGAGAAACAAAACCTGCCAATGGCCGATGTAATATGATGGTTTAACCTTTCACCGGTTTTCAGTCTCTCTTTTAGTTCCTCTTTCAAACACAGGAGCATCATTTTCCTCTTTCACAATATTGTACATGCACACACACAAATGTACAAACACTGACTTATTGTTCTGGTGACACACACGCAGATTTTTGTTGAAGGAGCTGCACCCGGATCCAGCAAGTCCTGACATGATGCGCGCGCACACGCACACACACACACACACACACATGAACACACACACACACACACACACACACAGATCACCTCATGTGTGAGATCCACTCTTATCTGCAGGGAGGAAGGGAGACATAGGGGTGATTAGAAAGAAAGTCATAGGCATATGCCTTGGCGAATTAGTCATCGTGTGTGTGTGTGTGTGTGCGTGTGTGATGCGACCGGCTGGCTGATAGACATAACAGACACAAAGACCTCAGCTGTCCCCCCCCCCCCTCTATCAGCCAAATCTTTTACTGTAAACTCTCTGAGTAAACAACCTACACAAAAACCCAATCCATCTTTCTCAACATTATACAACAATAGTGGTTATGCAGTAGTAGTAGTAGTGTATGGAGCAGAGTATACAGTATATGGTGGGTATGCGTATGTTGAGGATAGAAAGAAGGACTGAAACAAGAAGGTGACAAAACACCCTCTAGTGGCTGTCCGTATGGTAGATGGACTTGTCAACTATCAATAACCAGAAGGCACAATGCCAGTGTCAGTGAAGTGGTAAACATTTCATTTTAAGGCAACAACCCATGGCCTACTTGTGTAAATCGAATGTGAGGCAAGTATACAAAACCACAGATGGACTTACAACTACCAAACAACAGTGAGAAGACTTTAACATGCCTTGTCAAGGATCAGTCCAAATTGAAAAGGTGGATCTATAATCCAAAGCACTGAAAGATTCAACAGAATAAATATATAACCCAAGATTGACCGGTTTCTGGACATCTACCAGTACAGCAATTTGGGAATGACACATGGGATAAGATGAAAATGCAATGCTGTGGGTTTTGCATTTAACTATAGTGCATTGTGAAACTGGACACTGTTAGAGTCGAATCATTTCCATATTTTCCATCTGACATCCTTCAAATGAGTGCGAGAGATTGTAATCTGTATACCAATGGAGGTCATGGCGAGCAGACAATATGCAGTTGAGGTGGTGGTTTGTCCAAGTGCCTAAAAGTGCTGTTTGTAAGTTTATCTTATTGCACAGCAGAGGTGGTACTACTCAGAATACATATAGTAACCTCTTAGAGAACAAAAAATACTACATACTTTTGATTTAGGTTATGACTTTAAAAGTTATGCATGGTCCAATTTGAGAAAGCACTTTCTCAAGAGCGCCAGTGTTTTTTTTCCCATGGTTCCTTTTCAAAGTGAACTTCAGGCTTTTTCAGCGTGCTGTCCCTTTACACACAAAAAACAAATACAACAAAGTGTCACACTAGCAGAAAGGGGAAAAAACTCAAAGGCATAAAAACATACTGTAGAAAACACAAGCAGCTTCTCACATCGGTCCCCGCACGGTTTCTCCATATCCACTATCGGCACGAGCTTGCGCCCTTTTGTTATCGGCAAGAACTGTTACAGCTAAGTGGAGCCCACAGTACAAGCTGTCACAGTTCTATATAGTCCAAATGCAGTTTGTGGTCCCTGTAACAAGGTGTATATTTTCTAAATTTGACGGCAAATCATATGGACATGGTTCAGAGAGAAAGAAAAAGGGAACAGGGTTCGAGAGAAGTAAGTAACACCTGGCATTTCCCACATATTATGTGTCTGCATCAGGCTGTCTGCCCGTGGTAACTTCCCTTTAGTCCCTTCAGACAACAGTGGTGGTCTGCAAGTGTGTGTTTACAGCAAGTGTTGTGTTGAGTGAGAGCTACCTCCAAAGCTGAGGCCCCCCCCCCCCCAGTGTCTACACACACACACAGTCCAAAACACTTGATACAGTGACCGTACATTACAAGGTGTTGTATTAATATATTAGTATGTACTATTCTACTGCATAAACTTTATAATATTACTTTTTAAGGGCATTTATACTAGGACAACATAATCAAAGCTAGGGCCAGGAGAGAGAGTGATAGAAAGAGTGGTTCCTGGTTTATTCTTGTCTGGGGGTCCATGACTTAGATGACTTAATGCATTAAGCAGACCCTGGGGTATTTAGGGAGCAGAGGAGAGATATAGGAAAGCTAGAGGGGAGCTCACAAAAGGTTCTCAATACCAACAACCTCTGTTTCTGATGATGTTTCTTTGCCTTTTGTCTTTGCTCATAATCGCTTCTATTCTGTTCCCATCTCTCTCCACCTGTCCTCCTCCACTCCCCCCCTTTTCCCTGTCCTCTCCTCCTTCAGGGAAGAGCTTCACTCTGACCATCACAGTGTTCACTAACCCTCCTCAAGTGGCCACATACCAAAGAGCTATTAAAATTACAGTGGACGGTCCGAGAGAGCCGCGACGTGAGTTACACTGACACACACACACACAAACAAATGTTGACAACTTTCTTCTCAGTAGACAATAATAGTTGGAGTCCCACAGGGTCCAGTTGTGGGCCCCATCTAAATGGATTACCACAAACAGAGCTACCTCCATCCACAGTTTACATTGGCAATGTTACTCCAGAACGATTTAGGTTTGGATAACTAAACCTCTAACTGGAAGGAAAGGTTAAAAAACAAAAAAAATATTGATTGTTAACCTGTGGCAGGACACAAACTAGCCTTCAATATGAAAGACTGTCATGCTATGTGTCCATCCACCACCCTATCCTGCACACCATTACTTCTACATAAGGGACACACTTGCACTGGCGATGTAATTGGAAATAAACCAGGAGGTGCAGACTTACTTGCAGTAGGTCAGCGATCTCATATGACCTGTTGGAGGCAGCTACTTACTACTGCCTTTTATAACAAGGTTACACTAATGTTTATATGCACAACAAGTTATTTTTGCCTCTTGTCGTTTGCTTTTCGACTGAATATGAGTTACAGGCTCCTGCATCTAGCATGTATGCTGCTAAATAACACTGCTGTCGGTTTTTCTTGTCTGCACAGACAGCAGGGAAATGACCAAATTGAGAATATTTTGGAGAATGAAAATTGGTTACAGCATAGCATTAAATGCCACAACCACACCTTTTCCTGGCCTTAACCAGAGCTTATTATACCAGTCCTTCTCTAACCTTAACCATGTGTGTTATCATGCTCAATGGTATTGTTGCCGTTGATATTAATATTTTATATATTAATATTGTTGTCAACCTTATCAGCTTGTCCGCTGTATTTTTAGGGACAGTTTCATCAGTTTGACCTTTATTCACTTTTTATAAGCACAGATAAGAACATGTAATAAACATTACCTGAAGTTACAGAATGATTTTTGGACCTATAAGTTGAAGTTACTAAAAAGATACACAGCGAGGACATAAACTCGAATCACTTCAAGACTCAGCTGAGTGAGTCAATGAGGAATGATGCAACACTGAGTTCCTCTCCCGCGGGTGATGAAACACGGGGATTTCTAACGGCAGAATAAAGCGCAGATCAGATTTTGTTTTGCTAATGCTCGTGTATAAAAGTCCTCTCAAATGAAAGTGAAGTGAACCGAGCGACACTGGTCAGCACAGCGAGGAGAGACGGGAGGTGACAGAAAGAGAAGAAGACTCCTGCCAGCTCTGCTCAGCTGTTAATAACCATCACTCGTCTCTAACTCGCCCACACACACACACACAAACACACACAGTATAAATACACATTCACGCACACTTCCCCCATTGGGAGGAAGTGCCTGTAACTGGAGCTCAGTCTTAGTGCTTTGAAGTGCGGCCAACACCACAGACAGCGTGACAGACCACCACACACTCGCATACACACATGTGGGCCTATGCGGCGCCCATCACCAGATTCACAGCCAGAGCGTGTTAGTCTGGACGTATTAATACCCTCTTTTGAGTTGTAACTGTTACTAAAATCCCTGGATTATGTAATCAGATTACTAGCGTGGAGTAATCTGCAGACAAAATACACTTTGACAGAAACAGCTCTGGATTGGGTTTGCAGAACTTTGGTGGTGGGGCTACTTATTTGAAGGCGTTGATCAGTAAACCACGACAATTTCATCTCAGGTCATCGTCAGAAGATGGACGAGGTCAAACCCGGCACACTGGCGTTCTCTGAGAGGCTAACTGAGCTGGAGCAGCTGAGGCGGACCTCGATGAGGGTGACGCCTCCTCACCATCATCACCATCAGCCCTCCGCCAACACACGCCAAGCACTCAACTCGGCCACATTCTCCAGTCCCACGCACACGCAGTTAACTGCTGGTAAGAGTCAAAAAACGACGGTTACATTAATGTCTAATCAGCCTTAATCAGAACAACAAGAGAAGAAACAACAAAGAAGAAAAATGTGTCGTCTTGCCTATCCAACACTTCCTGTATTCTTAGTACTGTCACTTACATTTAACAGGGGAGCTGAAACAAAGCGTCACACTGTCCTGCTCAGTTAAGCAAATTCTAACTGTGCATTACCCAAATTAAAGGGACGTCACGTTAGATCTTTGTAGTGTTCTTCATAACAACACAAAAATCTAAATTAAAGTTAAAACAAAGGCCACCTGCGATTAAAATGTTGATTCCCATCATTTAAAATCATCCAGCCACATTAGTATTTTGGATTTAGTGTCTTTCTCGAGGACACTTCGGCTTCCAGACACCGAGAAACCACTGCTTCAGCTTAACTATGAGCTCAAACGCGATCTAATGAGGCAATCATCTGGACTATCAAGAACTGTGATTCATGCCCTTTCAGAGACCAGGAAAGTCCCAGGTCTGCTGCACTTAAATAGTCATGACATGCTGCAAATGAAAAGTGTAAAGGCACCATTGTACTCTATGCATGACTGTACTTGGTGGGAATCTTTATTTATTGAAGTCTGGGCTGAAAAAAAACAAACTAAATAGCTTTTCATAAAGTTAGGATACATGGTCTGTATTTATACAGGGCTTTTATAGTCTTGATAACCTTTCCGAGCATACAATACAGTCTTGCCATTCTTCCATTCACAGACACATTGCGTACAATGTGGGCACCACTTTCTCTATTGTTCACTCACACATCTTAGGCACAGGCGTCAGAGGCAAATTGGCGTTCAGTATCTTGCCCAAGGACACGTCGGCATGTAGTGCACGACCCGCTTAACTTCCTGAGCCACAGCCGCCCGAGTTACGTTCAAATGGTCGGTTGCAAAAAACAGGGCTAAATATGCTGGTGCGGTTAAGCTGGAGCGGTACGGTGAATTCCACCGAAGTGGCTGCCATGACAGTAAATCTAAATGTTTGAGTCAAGCAGCAGTTGTAATTAAAAGAGGAAATCATTTCTGTCTGACAGAACAGATCAAACCAAATTTGCGCAAATTTTATCTTCTAATGAGAAACGTCTGTCTGTGGCTCCTGCTCAGAAATGACTTCTTAAAGCATTTTAAGGACTAAGGATTACTACGTGTATGGTGATGCCAGACTGTTGGTGAATCAGTTCAGCCTTACTCTGAAACCAACTTGGTCACAGACATTTTTGGGATTGAGTCTTTTATTTGTCACTTCCTGTATTAAAACAACATCTCATAGATGTTTAGATGACCAGGACATTTTATCAAATGATTCAACTGTGTCTCACGTTGTACAAGCTTCTTCCTGTCACAGCATGAACGTATTTCCACCAAACGTGGCAGCAAGGTGGGAGAGTGATTCATTTTTAGAGCTGATTAGATAGACAATCTTTATTCAACATATGATGCTGTGTGATAAGTGACCTCAAGTGACCTAAAGCCTGTATAGATCTGTTAAGAGTTGTTTCAACTCTTTAAACTCAGGATGTGAGCAGTCAGTCTGGGAGAATGGAAGTGCAACAACCAGAACAGAAGTCCAGGAACTTGGTTCAGAGCTCTGAGTTTACGTTCTCACAAGATAAAGATACATGACATCAATACACAAACACACAAACACATGGAAAGATCCCCACCCCACAGACAAAATGGCTGAATGCCTCAAACAACAGCTTTAAATATGTTTGGGTAAAACCATCCCTTAATTAGAAAAGGTAAAATGAAAACAATTAAAGCAAACAAGATACAAGTAGAAGTCTCTTTCAAATTAATACATTTAAGAGCACAATAACTTTGCAACAAATTATTAAGACTAGAGTTAATATTAATTCAGGCTAGGAGAAAAAGAAAAATACAAAAGAAAACCAATTGCTTCTTCCCCCCATTCCTCATTCCTACATGGTTTAGTCCATATTGAAACCACCTGGTGGAGATGTGGCATTCAGGTGCGCGTGTTCATGAGCACCACCTCAACCAGGAAGTGAACCTCAAAGGAAACAAGGATTAAAAATCAAGGCAAACAAGCAGCAATGAAAGAAATATTTGAATGAGAATATATGAATTGAAACAAATGCATTTGTCAACTAAAGTGGAACACAAAAAGAGAAACAAATGATCTTAACAGAAAGCAAACATTCAGAGCTGACCTGACTGGTGTGGGAGGGAGTGCACAAGATCATCATGTAGTGTAGTTATACATTATGTTTATATCATATGGCATAGATGATGTCATGATGATGTCATTGTGAAATGGATTTTTAAACAATATAAAAAACGTAGACGTGTGTGCAGGGTATGCATCACCCCTGTGATGTATTTTGCTATAGAAACCGATTCATACAGTGGAAATGAAGTGTGTTTAATGCAGAAGTATGAATTCAGCCTCCTGCACAACACAACTGGATCAAGTGCTCCTCTTTTTTATCCTGTGAGATTTTTTAGCTTCACCAAATTTCTGGAGCTACAGTGCAGATTCATTGTAGTGCAGAACACAGAAACATCTGTTCACAGGCAGAAACAAAGACTGTGTTCCCAAATTTGTGCATTCAGCTTGCATCAAACCTCATTGTTCCTCCTTGTGGTTTTAGTGAGATCTGTAGTGGTCTGTGTGTGTGTCCGCGTGTGCTTCCTTGTGCGTTGTACACGTGAGAGTTTGTGTAACCGTGGATACTCTATTTGGCACCAGAAGACAGTATCTGTTCCTCTTCGGCCTTCGGCAGCGGTGACGATCTGAATGTGTGTTTACGCATGTTCGCACAACTGTTGCAGTGCACCTTCGTATCTGTGCATGTGTGCGTGTGTGTGTTTGTAAGTGAGGAAGCAAATAGGAGGAAATGAGAGTCACCTGGCAGGAAGTGCTACCAAACAAAAAAATGAAAATGTCAGAATTTGAAACCAAATCCTTCCACCTCCAATTGATGTTCATCCACCATCGGATGTAATACTTTCATACTATTAATTATACTGTTGTTTAAAATTGAGCTTATTTATTTCCATGCATATGCTGTGGCTGAGGGGGTAGAGCGGTCGCCATTAGCAGCTCGATCCCAGTCTTCCCCATCTGCGTGTTAAAACCATTCAATAAGAATAAGAAGACTGACTTTGTTAGAGCCAAGACCTTCAGAAATCATTTACTCTGAAAGGAAAATATACTTTGGAAAAGTCAAAGGTAATTGATAGTGTAATATTTTGCCACATTCATGGATCTGGATGAGGGAATCGAACCACCAACCACTTTCTTTTACATTTTCAGAAATGATGTAGAGGCCATTGAAGTTTATTTTTCATTGGATGTCAATATATTGTCATTTAAGTTTTGTTTTTGCAGTTATAAATTAAGATTGAGGAACAGGGCTGTGCGGCATCCATGTTGCTGTTGCCTAGCAGCATTGTTCACTGGAACGGCAGGCACACCAACTTCCCATGTTGTAACCACAAGCTCAAAAGTTCCATGTGAAGGCGGCATACGCACAGCGCTGTGCAGCCAAACCACAGCCTTGGAACACTGTCATTGTTAAGATTTACTACGTACTGACGCTAACACATGCTACTTTTGAGAAGAGCTGCCACTCTGTCTTCCAGAATTGCTGAGTCTAAGCTACGGGCTAAGATCCACATTAATTTAAACTGAAGCTGGACAGATCCAGATCCAGACAAGTAATGCTGGAAAATACAGTTCTGGGACATAAAATAAACATTTTCATAATTATTTTGGGAATGGAAATGGTAATGTGAGTACATAATTATTGCATAAAAGTGCACAACATCTTTAGATTTGTGATTTCTTACCTGTTCCTTAACATAAATTTGAATCTATTAGTGCAATAGCGGAGAATATTATTTAACTCTGCAGTCTCTTTAACTGTAGGTTGCATGAACTGTTACTAATATTTAGGCTGAGAAAACAAATACATACCTGATGGAAAGTGAAACAGAGAGGTAGCTCTCAGTGCTTCCTGATTTCAGTTTTTTTCGGACCCCTCTCAAAATGAAAACAGCAACAGGAAACCGTTATGAAGCCATTCAAGACCTTACTCTCTTTTTCTTTCTTAATAGCCTCTCCCCCATCATCAGCGCCCCTGCTAAACTTTCATTTCTCTTTTAATGCTCCGCTCCGTTCCCTTCACTTCTCTAGTTATAAATTCTGCACATATCCGCTGTGCATTTAAAATGAATGCGCGTGTAAAGGGCAGCTCGGCCGAATCTTTGCAGATGTAAGTAGCAACAGGAGCTGTTACCGACTTCCGCCTTGTGATTCAGTGTCAAGTCCTCTTGCAGCATCTTGAGTCTGTGATTTGTCTTGATATGAGTCCTGCTTCACTGATAAACAAGTTTAGTAATGTGTTGATCTGCAGCGTAATTTGCAAAGTACCGCTTTCTGGTTCTTGTCTAAGCAGCAGAAGTGTAGCTCCTACTTTGTAGTACACGTGGCCTAAAACTAAACCCTTATAATATACCGACATGATAATTTCCTCATGGTGAATCAGGCTTTTTCAAACGATCCGGCACCTGAGATTGCTCGTGTCTGAAAAATCTAGCATTAAGAGTGCACATTTTTAGATTTTCACAGTAAACCTGATGCCACGCAGTGCAACACAATCCACAAAGAAGGGAGAAACATTATAGGGCCCCCCTCGGAAGCTGATTGTTTCATGGTGGTTATGTTCTAAAGTGCAGAGTGCGGAGGAAAACGATGGAGATGGATGATTTTATAGCGTCCCGCCATTGCACACTGTGAGCTGCTATTGGCTGGGGGCTACACACCCACTGTTTTCAGGCCTGCTACATCCTAAACGTGGGAAAATAAGCATGCATGCATCATATCAGACTTCAATGACATGGTCCGAATGAGTTTTATAACATAAATGTCTCAGTCACATTATTTTTGACATTTATGTAGCCAACTATATGTTTTACTTCAGTTTCCACACAGCCCGCCATCTACTGGATGACTTCTGGCCCACATTAGTGCGCTCAGCCTGGAGAGAGGAGCCAGGAAAGGAAGGGGGCTTGGCACGGGGCCTAGGCCTTAGCACCACCCAGATACCACACACACACACACACACATACGTCAGCGCTTGGGAGAGCTCTTGGCAAGACTTGAAAAGCCTTCATTGGCGTCTCGACTGCTGCGTACAATTTGCTTCCTCGTCTATCCGCACATACATACTCGCACAAACACACATACGTATGCACGCTTGTCTGCAAGTCTGTGGATGATCAGCGCCGTTTATTAGACTGTGGGGAAAAAGACTGGATTGAATGAAAGAACTCACACACACACACACAAGCACACAGCCCTCCCCTTCATCCATCCACCCCCACACCAAGTTAATTACTTCCTCTCCTCCATCTCTCTTTTTTCTTTTTTCTTTCACCATCAACAGCTTCTGTCTCAAGACCAAGTTCCTGTGAATCAGCCTTTATTTAGATAACACAATCTGCACGAATCATGCAAGTGGATAGTTTGTCACTGTGCGTACAAAGTTAAAAGCCAAAGGTTTAAGGTTTAATATCCATATTTGGAGAATCAAATAACCAGGCCAATTCAATTTTACACACGTCTCTTCACCAGCCTGTAAGAACAATTGAATAACTTCTTCTGTGACTTGTGGAGACAAGCCTGATGATGTCATCTGCAATACTGCTTTACATGTTATCATTCCTATTTAAATATGTTGAGTGCCCCAATTTTATAGGGGTGTGATACTAAAACTCTGAGGTTCCCTTTAAGGAAATAAAGATGGTGGGTCAACAGTACAGTCCAGGCTCAACTGGAAACATCTAAATGACGGAGCGCTCTAAAACTTTAAAAGTGTCAGTGATTAAGCTCTCTCTTTCTCTTTCTCTCTCTCTCAGATTCCAGACAGATGCAGTCGTCTCCATCTTGGTCCTACGACCAGTCTTATCCCTACCTTGGCCAAATAACCACACCCACTGTCCATACAGCCAACCCCCTATCGCCTGGCCGCTCTTCACTCAGCGACCTGTCCTCACGACTCACAGGTAACACACACAAACATGCACACGCCCACAAACAGACAGCAGATTATTAGATTGGTGGATTGTAACCTTTTCCTCTGCCCTCTCTCAGGCCCTGACCTCACAGCCTTTGGCGACCCCAGGATGACCTTGGAACGATCTTTCTCTTCCCTTCCCTCCTTGCCTGACTCCCGCTTCTCCGACCCCCGCGTACACTACCCTCCCACAGCGGCTGCCTTCACCTACACCCCCTCCCACAACCCTGTCTCCAACAGCGCCCTTGGCATCAGCATGGCGACAGCCATGGCGACCACCCCGGCAGGGAGGTACCACACCTACCTGCCTCCGCCCTATCCTGCAAACACTCCGCACCAGGCTCAGAATGGGCATTTCCAATCCACCTCCTCACCGTACCACCTGTACTACTCCACCGCCGCTGGATCGTACCAGTTCTCCATGATGGCCGGAGGAGGAGGCGGCAGCGACTCGCGCTCCCCTCCGAGGATCCTGCCACCATGCACCAACGCCTCCACAGGCTCCTCCCTCCTGCACCCATCCTTGCCCAATCAGAATGAAGGAGTGGGCGTCGAGGTGGAGTCCAGCCATAGTAGCTCTCCGACAAACATGGCGGCTGCTGAAGCTGTGTGGAGACCGTACTGAAACAGCCAAGGGAGGAGACGAGGATGCTCTGGATGAGTAAAACCCCCCTGGTCATGTGATGGCAGACGCTAAACAACACATAAATCTGAATAGAGATGGTTTTCATCTACACATGTGATTCTTTGACAGTAAGAAAAATATTGAATATCAACAGATTTATACTTTCATGGCACATCAGGAATATTAAGAAATTTAAACTTTTTTTGAGCTTAATTGAAGAAAACCTGGTGGTTTCTATTTATGTGGAAAAACTCATCCAATTGCTGTGCGTCATCAACATGGCCAGGCGCCATATGCAGGGTGCGCCCACTTTAAAAAAAAGGCTACTGACAGACACTGTTAGTTCAATGAAGAACAAGCAGAGCGACTGACGAGGTTTCGCAATGAGGGGACTGACTCGCACTCCAGCCTCACTGCAGGATACAAAGAGAGACACAGGACTGCAGAAAAGTTTCTATGAAACGAAGGATGTAACCATGGACATGAAAAGCAGCAGGGAAACATTTTGGTTAAACACTGACAAAGTGCATGCAGCAGCACTGGACTGATCTCAATTTAGCTTGTACTATAACAGGACTTTTTCCTCATAAATGTTGTTGTGACTTGATGATTTGCTCATCCCGAATATTGTAGTGGCCTGTTTGTGTTTTCCTTCACCCTTTCATCCATTTTTTCTTTCTCCCCCATGCTATTACCACTCCTCTTTGGTTTATGGTTGAAGAACTGAGCCCCACGCCTTTTAAAGAAAATAATTAAATCACTCGCTAAAGTTGTTCCTATGACCTCTGGATCAAATCTGTAGAAAAAAACAACTGTGAGTTGTCCCAGACTTCACTGCGGACGGCATACTTCAGCTTCACTCATCAAAACAATGAAGAATTCCTTTCTTTATCACAAGATTGATTATTATTTTTAGCAACTGTTTGAGATTTTCCACATTTTTATCGCATTCATCTGGCAGGTTATTTCTTACTCCAGGACTAAAGACACCAGGTGAACCTGGCTGAACTGCCCAACGTTGGTTAAGGAGCTTGATTGATTCCATATTTAGCATAAATGGCCCTGGATTCCAGGGGGATTTTTCATGTTCCAAAGGTCTAAAGGATGTTTCACATGTTTTTACAGGGGCAACACTTGTGTTTGGGTTTCATCTCTCCAAGATGACTGATATTCTGGCCTGCAAACCAGTCTCTCCTCGATGTTGAATGACTCATTTCCTCACTGCACTGAGAAATCATTACAGTATGAAGTTTTGCAATGTGTTAATTTATTCCCACAATGCCATTTTTGGTAGCATTTCATGTCTTCGTTCTTATGTGTGAGTATGTGCGTGTGTGTGTGGGTGAGTATGTGTATTTTACCCATGATCCACAGCTGATTTGTACTGTATATAACCATGGCTGTAAATGACACTGCATTTTTAATATGGTTTCGTCATCCCTTGCTGGCTCTGTTTCTGTCTTACACACACACTCAGACACACACACACGTTTTATTTGGAAACTGTTGATAGTTCACATTTGGTTGTGATTTATATAAATATTCTTGAGGAAAATGCAACTGTTGTCCTGTGGTTATTGGTCAGATAATTTATCTTATAATTATCTTTCTATTTATTTTACACACACACTATTCCTGCTCCTGTACTTGAAGGAATTCTACACACAAGCCCAAGCTTGTCCGCTCTGCCAGTTCACGAAGACACCTTCATTCTCAAGTAGAGAACCCTCATACAAAAACTCAGGTGACGCACATGAGAAAACATTTTATACAACTCCCCCAGCACCAGATTGAATACAATAGGGTGAGTATGTGGGGGTGACTTGGTGGTGACTGTTAGTTTTAACCATCTGACTCAGACAACCTGTCACTCCCAGCAAATTTATACAGAGATTGGCCAAATTGCACGGAGGGGAGAAAGTAGGCTGGCCTATAACTTTCTCCACTGTCCTCCACCCTTAAAGGTACAGTGTGTAGAATTTAGTGATATCTAGTGTTGAAGTTTCATGTTGCAGCTGAACACCCCTCACCTCACCCTCTCCTTCCAAACATAAAAAAGAACCTGTGGTAGCTTTAGTTGTCATAAAAACTCAAAAGGTGTTTAGTTTGTCCAGTCTGGACTAATGTAAAAAACATGGCGGCCTCCGTAGAGAGGGTCCCCTCGATGAAAATATAAAGTATTTAAATATTAAGGGCCTTTTCTGGGTTAAAGAAAACTACACTTCATACAATTTAGATGAAACGAACTAGTGAAAACATCATGAGGATTATTCTACATTCAATTTCTGCCAATAGTTCCCTCTCACCTAAATCTTCTGTTTGACAAGCCTTATGCTGTTTGCCAATCTAAAACAGATTGCTTTTGACTCCATTGCCAAAAAGGCCGAAGTACATCCATCTTCTGTAATGCGTATATTTTTGCAAATATGAAACGACAGAAAATCTTCAAATCAGCACCAATTCCCTCAAATTGTGGGAGGCTCACAAAACAAGATCAAGATTGTGCAGAAGAAGCTAAACAGGAAAACAATATTTTCACTAAAATAAGGAAGTGGTGGCTCAGTGTGATTGCCCTGAGATGGCTTCTACTGACCAGCTACTGACAGAACCATGGCGTCCATGTCTCACAGGAAGAATGAGGATAAAGACGTAAAAACACATACACCCATCTTTTCGTACAGTACTGCTCATTGACACTCTGCCAGATCGGCCATCAGGGGCGGTTAGGATTCAACGCCTTGCAAAATGACGCCATGGCATGCCTAGCCACCAGTGACCCATTTGGGGCTGTTCATGGGATTAAAAACACCCGCAGGCCAGCTGGAGTTTCATCCATTAAACAGAGGGGGATTTTCATTGAGATTTCTCAGGAGTGTTTTCTTGGAAATAAACAACTGTAACTGTAGATGTCTGGAAATGATGGAGAATTATGCTAATCAGTCTACTGACTTTGTCCCTCAGGCAACTTTGCGTTCAAAACAAACTGACATTGCCCTGCATGGTGGAATAGGACAGCCTTGCAGCCTTAGACAACACTGACATCTAGAGGTCAAACTGCATTCTGACATCCCAGTGTTGGGTATGGCCCTGAAATGTGACTCAGCTTCAATTACCTTTAAATCTGAAGGTTAAAGTCTTTTATTTTTCAAGATAAGGTGAAACTTACACAGATCTCTAATTCCATGTGTGGACTCACTCTTTATTCAGATTTTTATCTGAATTAGTTTTTCATTCGCAGTGTGACAAATCTGTTTAAAAAGCAGTTAAAGAAAATTCATTTGCATTCCTTCCACTAAGTTATTTATTAATTGATGAATCACGAGGTCTGACGCAGGTCCATTCGGGGGTCAAAATACTTTCATTCAAACTCATCAACGATCAAACCAATCACTGTTTTGATGCGTTAGGCGCTAGTTTTCTCCCTCCAGCCAACCGACACAGACAGCAATTGATTTCCCAACAGCAGCCATCGTTTGGTGCCTGGCTGAGCTTGAGATGTGATTGATGACCCGGAGTATTGACAAATGGGGAAGAAATTAACAGGGAGCAAGAATTTACATAATATCCTATTAATCAATGTGACAGCAGGACAGAGGTGGTGATGGCGAGAAAGGAGGGCAGCAACAAACCAGGCCAGTTGTTAAAAAATATTTATTTATGTGTGTGTGATGATTAAACTGAAGACCTTTGCGTGCAGTCGTGAATCAGGGTGTCCGTGGAGTGTGTACAGCATGGCAAGTTTAGCTGTATCACAAAAGTTGCAGCTGAATACCTCCTTTTAAACATGATCGAGAGCCTGTAGTAGATTTCAGTTGTCATAAAAACTCAAGAGGGGTTTAGTTTGTACAGTTTGGAGTACTGTAAAAACCTGCTCCAGATGTAAATATAAGGTATTTAAATATAAAAGGTTAATTCTAGTGTAAAGAAAACAAGAATTTGTACAATTTAGATGATTGTTAAAACATCATATTTATTCAATTTCTGCCATGCCATCAAGTGTAGACCACATGGTGACAAAGAAATAAATTACATGTCATACGTTTCATTCATACAGGTGCAAAAAAAATAAATCACAAATTTTAATTTTAATTATTTTTTTGAACATTACAAAAACCGTGACAGTTCTTATCGTGATCAAACTGGACAAATTTAAATAAAGTAGCATTTCGCTAATGAAATACATTTCTTGTGGTTGAGAAAAGTGAGCGTAAAAATCTGACAAATAAGATACATTTCCATAAGAGTGACTCCCTGAATTATTTTAAACAATACATAGCACACACATTTACATAGATGCACACACATTTTACTTTTCTACATCATATTATGAATATATGTCTATATGACCGTCTAAAGACGACAGCTTAATCACTAGTCAAACTACTTTTTTTTGTGCAAAATTAAAACTATTTGTTTAAAGTGCAATATACACAGAACCCCAATTGCGCAATATTTACATGGCATACAGTTACTAGTCACATCCCTTTGTTTCAAACATTCTTTATGTTAAGTAACACAAAGAGTAGCAAGGGGCAAGATATCAAGGCTGCGCGGTGGAGGGGGTGGAGAAGCGTGAGTGTGTCTGAGGATGGTGGACTGGACACAGTGTGACCGTGGTGCCGATGCCTCCCAGCAACAAGGCCCAGTCAGCGGCGCTCTACACGCAAGCTGCTTCGGCCTCCGTTGCTCTGGCTCATCAGGGACACAGCTCAGCCTCCGTCCACACACGCTGTCCTCTTCACACTCACATTTACAGAGATCGCGGCCTCCATCTGTTGAGAGAAGAAGACATCAGTGTTTACAGACCCTCACTTCATCAGTCGTTCTCCTCTCACAGCTTCACTGAGGAAACACCGAGGCCTGAACTACAAAGCCGGTTCAACATATCCAGGATATCTTTCCCAGACCCAGCTGAACTTAACCTAACAAACACAGTCAGGCTAAGTGGTCACATGACACTGGTTATCAGCTCGTTAAGTTAACCCAGGGTTTCCTCACAGACATGGACAACCCAGGAGAACAAAATGGTAAAACATCTCTGATTGTGTCAATGTGTAAGTTACGGAGCCCCCTGGTGGCATTTGGTAAAAAAATACATTAAGTGACCTTGCTGTAATAACTCTGTGCCACAAGATCTGACTCTGCTGACATGTGGATGTGTGGAAGTGAAGTGATGAGAAAGGTTTGAATCCCTTGATGTGGCCTCTATAATGAGCTTTAGTTCGACAAAGACTGTCTGCACAGACTCTGAGGACACACTGTGGTGGAAACCTTTGACATCACTGCTCAATAAAAACACATGGGCCTATTTCCAGGAACCTGACTGAGTGCATTTGGTATTTCGGTGACAGTATGAGTCTGGAGAGATTCAGATGTACTGGGTGTGTTAGTGGCTGAGATCGACTTAACCAACCAAACAATGATTTATTTGTTTAACGAGCTTCATAGGACTTAAACAGTTAAAACCTAAACTTAACCTGATAGCCACACATCCTGCTTCTTGGTACAGACCCTGGATCTTTACTGTGATACTGACTGTGTTTGGTAAAACACTGATGAAAGCAGCGTGGACTGACTCCAACCATCTACTGACCTCAGAGTCCCCAATCGAAAGTTTGAATTCTGCTTTAGATCCAGCAGCTTCTCCACTCCTGAGTCCTGCAGGTCGTTGTAGCTCAGATCCAGTTCTCTCAGATAAGACGGGTTTGACCTCAGAGCTGAAGCCAGAGAAGAACAGCTGATCTCTGACAGTCTGCAGCCCCTCAACCTGGATAAAGCATAAAACTTAACTGTGAATTAAAGAGTTCATGTGGGAAAATAACATACAAATATTCATGTCAGCACAGACTTGGAAGATAAATATGAAATCCGATGTGTGGGAATAAAAAACGAGTCCTGAATCAGTAAAAATATATTATTTGGACCTGGTCTCTGTCCTGCAGATCAGTTTAGGAAATCCAAAACTAAACACAGATGTGTTTTAACAAGTAGCTGAATATTTAACATGTCACAAATGAATGAATGAATGGATTCAAGTTACGTATGAAGAGGAATTATGTTCATTTGAATTAAATGAGATAAATCGTGTATAAATGCTGTATTATAGATATGAGATCTACAAAAGTCCGTCAGTGAACTGACCCCAGAGTCTTCAGTCGACAGGTTGGACTCTGTAGAARACCACACAGCTCCTTCACTCCTGAGTCCTGCAGCTCGTTGTAGCTCAGATCCAGTTCTCTCAGACGAGAGGGGTTTGACCCCAGAGCTGAAGCCAGAGAAGAACAGCTGATCTCTGACAGACTGCAGTGATTCAACCTGGATAAAGAAATGTGGATATTTGAATTTGTCCTCCTGCTATAGTGGATCGTCATCATGTCAACACAGACTCAACATGCTGCCGACCTCAGTCCGGTCTCTGACCTAAAGATAAATATCAAGTCAGACATGTTGGGCCATTATTTAATTTATTAGCTTCTTCTCTGTGTGTTTGGTCACTGTGTAAGTGAGCAGAACAGTGACAATCCAATTAAATGTAAATAAATAATGACGAAATCAGAAAGAAAGTTGGAAAAGTGAACATTCAARGATTTAAGGACCTGACCTCAGAGTCTCCAGTCCACAGTTTGGACTCTCCAGTCCAGAGCACAGCAGCTGGACTCCTGAATCCTGCAGGTCGTTTGTACTCAGATCCAGTTCTCTCAGATGTGAGGGGTCTGACTTCAAAGCTGAGGCCACGACTTCACAGTGAGTCTCTGAGAGTCCACAACCAGTGAATCTGTAATTAAAGAAAACATCCAATCTGTAGTAAATCCCCTTTTTGCCTCATGATTTGGTACAAGCGTTCGTTAAGACTAACAGATGAACTCATTAAATTATTATTGTGAATGCAGTATGTCAGGAACCTGGAAGGACTGACACTGCACTGGTTGGCGGTGGTGCACAAACGCAGGGTGGTAATTTAAGTTTGACAAGAAAGAGAAATAAACAATATTTTCCTATGTGATTCCCAAAAAACAGTTATTTGGTGATTGTCCCCTCACACTGCTAGCTGGAAAAAGTATTTCCATGTGTGCATATATATAAATATATATATACATTCATACAGTATATACAATAATCTCCCCTACATGGTGGTATATCTGAACCATCGAACTCCCGCACAGTGATCACATTGGATTTCACTCTACACATCTGATTTAGTTGTTCCCATATGTGCAACAATGAGAATATATGTATTTATACATAAACACACACACCAGATCATGCTGCCCAAAAGAATGACAATAATTTTATCTACACTGAACATGTTATTGATCATGTCTGGACTCACAGAGCCTTCCTGCAGTTCCTCACAGCTGGGATCAGTCTCCGTCGACCCTTGTTTGATGTGTTGTACTTCTTCAGGTCCAGCTCATCCAGAACCTCCTCTGACATCTGCAGCATGTAGGCCAGAGCTGAGCAGTGGATCTCAGAGAGTTTCTTCTTTGATTTGTTCTCTGACGTCAGGAACTGTTGCATCTGCTGATGTACTGAGTGGTCGTTCATCTCGGTCAGACAGTGGAAGATGTTGATGCTTCTGTCAGGAGAGATTTCGTCACTCTTCATCTTCTTCAGGTTGTTGATGACTCTCTTGATGATCTCTGGATTGTTCACTGTCCGACCCAGCAGGCATCTTAAGACTCTCTGATTGGACTCCAGACTGAGGCCATGAAGGAAGCGAACAAACAGGTCCAGGTGACCATTTTCACTGGTGAGGGATTTCTCCATGGTTCTCTTCAGGAAGTCATCCAGAGATGGGTCAGAGAGTTTTTTTTTGGGAAAAAACTTCAAAAGGTTTAAGCCAGAATGGTTTGGCTTTGATTTGAAGTCTGGTCCCAGGAAAGTGTCCATGACTTCTGTGTTCCTCTTGGTGTAACAGTGGAACATGTAGACTGCAGCCAGAAACTCTTGAACACTCAGATGAACAAAGCAGTAGACTGATTTCTGGAAGATCACAAACTCTCCTCTGAAGATCTCAGTGCAAACTCCTGAGTACACCGAGGCCTCGGTGACATTAAGACCACACTGCTCCAGGTCTTCTTGGTAGAACATGTTTCCCTTCTCCAGATGTTCAAACGCCAGCCTCCCCAGCTTCAGAAGAATGTCCCTGTTAGCCTCCGATTGCTGCTTCGGAGTCTTCTCATGTCCCTCACCATACTTCTTTTTCTTCTTCTTTGTCTGAACCAGCAGGAAGTGTGAGTACAGGTCAGTCACAGTCTTGGGCAGCTCTTCACTCTGGTCTGTGGTAAACATGTGCTCCAGAACTGTAGCACTGATCCAGCAGAAGACTGGGATTTGACACATGATGTGGAGGCTCCTGGACGTCTTGATGTGTGAGATGATTCTGCTGCACAGCTCTTCATCACAAAATCTCCTCCTAAAGTACTTCTCCTTCTGGGCGTCAGTGAAGCCTCGTACTTCTGTTACCCTGTCAACACATGCAGGAGGGATCTGATCGGCCGCCGCAGGTCGGGAGGTTATCCAGACCAGAGCTGATGGGAGCAGATTCCCCCGGATGAGGTTTGTCAGCAGCACGTTGACTGATGACGTCTGTGTGACATCAGACACGACCCTCCTGTCGCTGAAGTCCAGGGAAAGTCTGCTTTCATCCAGGCCGTCAAAGATGAACACAGGTTTACAGACGGCGAGCGTCTCTGCCGGGACCTTCTCTAATGTTGGATGGAAAACACGGAGCAGCGTGAGAAGACTGTACTGCTCGTCTTTCACCAGGTTCAGCTCCCTGAACGACAACACAATCAGCAGGCCGACATCTTGGTTCTCTGAACCCTCTGCCCAGTCCAGAGTGAACTTCTGCACCGAGACGGTCTTTCCAACGCCAGCGACGCCGTTGGTCAGGACGACTCTGATGCTGCTCTGCTGGTCAGTGAAGGCTTTGAAGATGTCGCGGCACTTGATGGGAGCGTCGTCGAGGGTCTTCATCTTGGAAGCCCTCTCAAGCTGCCTCACCTCATGTTCAGTATTGACCTCTTCACTCTGTCCCTCTGTGATGTAGAGCTCAGTGTAGATCTTGTTGAGGAGGGTTCTACTTCCTGTTTTATCAGTTCCTTCAGTCACATGTTCACATCTCCTCCTCAGACTGGTCTTATATTCATCTAAAACCTCCTGCAGACCAAGATCTGCTGAAAGACAAGAAACAATGTCAGAGACAGAGAATGCTGTATGAAGGAACAAAATAATGTGCTGTTATCAGAAGTGAAGACATCAGCAGACACATGTACAGTGCTGCTCCGACCGGCTGTCTGACCTCCAGGTCCTGTTCTGCATCTTTTTCCACACTGGGGACAGGAGGAGTCTCTTGAAGAACCACACTGGTCCCAGTATGAGGTGATGCACTGTCTGCAGAACCAGTGTCCACAGCTGGTGGAGACTGGATCCTTCAGGACGTCCTGACACGAAGCACAGCRGGACGACTGCTCCTCCTCAGAAACATGACTCCTCTTCCTCTCTCTGTGAAGACATTTCCTGATTACTAAAAGGTCACAGTCGCAGGTTGTCATTACTTCTGTCAAGGTTTTGTTTTCACCCCTATGTGTTGGTTGTTTTGGGACTGATAAAAATGAGTATCTAGAGAATTTAACAATGGTTCTGAGTGATTTGTCAGGGGCAGACTTGTGGGAACTAAATCCTCTTCAGATCGGTTCACAGTAGAAACAGTCTCTTACTTTGTGTTTGAGGGTCCAGGTTCAATACTGAAGTCTGGAGGATTTCCTATAGACCAGTCACTCTTCAGAGACACACAGCTGAACCCTGGAGTCTCTGCTCTCAGTCTGTTGTCCCGACCTCTGCAAACACAAACATGTTTTCATTCAGAACTCATCATTCACTGATTCATTCTCTAAGGATTCAGTTTGGAGGTCCACAGGTGTGTAGCAGGTCTCTTACTTTGTGTGTGACGGTCCAGGTTCATTACTGAAGACTGGAGGAAGTCTTTTAGACTGGCCACTCTTCAGAGACACACAGCTGGACCCTGGAGTCTCTTCTCTGTCCTCCTCTTCCTCCTCATAACCACTCATCTTCCGTCTGAGAGGAAAAACACTGACATTGACTGTGACCTCAAACACAAACACAACAAAGCCAGGTACACAAATTCATCTTTTCATCAAATATAACAACGTCAACCCTCCTGCACTGTTCCCTGTTCTCACGGTAACCTGAGACAGTTGCAGGTTTTATGTGTTGCCCGATCACAGAGTTGAGTCAAACTGTTGATTTACTGATAGAAGTTCATCCGGAATCTTCTTCTCCCGAAAGCAGACTCAGCCTCTGACAGTAAAATAATATTAATGAATGATATTAATGTTGCTCAAACACTTACCAGCCTTTCAGGTTTGCTCAGTCTGCTCCGTACAGATTGAACACTTTCACTTTCGCTCTCTCCTCCTCTGCATTTATTTGAAATCACATGACTCTGTGTGTGTGTGTGTGTGTGTGTGTTTGTGTGTCTGTGTTAAAACTGCTGTTTGTAACTTAACTATTGTAACTTTTGACAGACAATACAAATAATAAATAATATGATTAAGGTTTATCTTCATTGCTATAGAAAAAACAACCAGTTGATCCACTGACTCTGGAACTGACAGTGTTTTTGGTTGTATGCCTTTGCACACCAGAGAAGTTTCTGTCAAAGTCAGTTATATTCCGGACTCAAAACTGATTTGAATCTTGAAAAATTGTTGGCAGCTTATTGAAGTTCACCAGAAAAATGTATTCTCTCCTCCATCACAGCTGATGTTTTATCTGATGTTTGTAGCAGGTCTCTTACTTTGTGGGTGAGGGTCCAGGTTCAACACTGAAGACTGGAGGAAGTCTTTTGGACTGGCCACTCTTCAGAGACTCACACCTGAACGCTGGAGGCTCGGCTCTATCCTCCTCATGACCACTCATCTTGTGTCTGAGGAAAAAAAAACAATGACCTGATTCCTGTAAATTCTCAAGCAAGTCTTATCAAGAACACAGCCACACCCACACATACACACACACGCTAAGGTGACTGTAATGGAGGATTCTGAAATCACGGTTCTGTTTTTATATATTAACAGATGTGATGATGATAAAAAGTGAAATTGTGAGTTAGCTCTGTTAATGAGTCATTTGAAGACACTTTGTACCACAACTGGTGTCCACATCCGTCTCTGGTGATCCGATCACATGGAAACTACGTCTATCACCAAATGTGAACTGACAAACTTAGAGGTGTGTGATCAACAGACGGATGTTAAAACCCAGGTATGAGTGTGTCAGTAAAACTTTCATAAAGTTGTGTTAACACCGTAGACTGAATATAAAGAACACTCACCTGCTCACTTTTCCTCCTTCTGTTCATCACTTCCTTGTTTTCATGCTCCTCCTCCGTCTTGAGCTAGATGACGCCACCAAGTTCAAAGTCCACTTCATACACATTAAAATGAACTAGTTAGCGATCAGTCCATTTTTTATTGGGAGGTTTATGATGTAGAAGACACACTTACAATCATGCTTTTAGTTCGGAATTTGTCAGATCATGAATCCTGATCTTCACTTTAACACAGAGTCCTGACTGATTCCACAACCTCGTCAAAGTCACAAACTACTTCAGCATTTCAAGACTCCATGAGCTCACACACACACACAAATGTTTAGAGTTCATGCTTTCCCAGCACTGGAATAAAGTCAAAATGTCCGTCTGGTCAAAGTCAGAACCAGAAAGAAACAGGGGTTGTTTTTTAAGGTGGATATTGTGAAGTCTGGTTGCTGGATGTTCTGCTTGGTTTCATCCATTCATGAGCGTCTCATCCAAAGATCAGGGCTCCGTAAAAACCTGGCCTGCATAAGCACACACAGAAACTCTCTTAACAACCATTGTTTTGTTGTACGATTCCCTAACACAAAAATACAACATTACATATGAAGTATAATACTGATATTTCACATTACATGGTTCCTGTAATGTAACAAAAGGTCATTAGACTAATGCATGTAAACAATAAAGATGTGATAGTTGTGCACTTCAGAGCAGTTAAACACACAGTATTTCTTTGACAATAATCAGTCCCTCCACTTTGTATTAGGGTCCTTGCAATGCTCAAGCCCTAATTAAAACAATAATAAGTCATTGCAACAAATTGAAGTGTTTTAAAAATGAGAAAACATATAAATCGTTAAATTGAATTCTTTGTCTTAACCATCAAGAATCGTTGCCACAATTGATTATGCTAATTCACCATATCCCATCTGCTGAACAGGGTGAACAGCACCACCCTCAGGCAGGGAGGAAGAACAACAACAGCATAAATCACACACACTTGCACACATCAAAAAACAATGCAATATAATATAATACAATATTCTCACTTCATTGTGTTAAAATTAAATAAATGTTGATTCATACAGAAATTATTAACAATAGATAAAAGAAGAATATTTTCAATAAAAGTATAAAACGCTTTTTAAGTTTCATAAAAGTTAAAATACCCATAAATCATAGCATACAGATAAGAAGATAGATGAAGAAGCATAAACTTAAATCTTTAATTATAATCATGTTGTTAATATGATGCAATACTCTTACAATGAAATAAATGTTGATTCATTCAGTAATTTTTAACAGTAGATAATCGATCATTTCAATAATAGTCTTGAGATGTTACACACTAGATTACTTTATATTGCGGTGGCAAAAAAATATTTATTATAAATTTCAAATTAGGGAATTTTATTTTTATGTGTGACGTCTTAAACCGGAAGCTCCGTTTTCCTACGAGCCAATCCGCATCACGCGCGCCTCCCTACGTCAGCAAGCCACGCGCCAAAATTTGTTTGAGTGCGGAAGGCGCGATAAGAAAACCAGCGGCGCCTCCTGTCTTCTTCAAGATCCGTCTTTCACCGCGAGCGACCTTGCTCAACAGCTCCTCGTCAGTATGTCCCAGCCGGCAGGATATTCCCCCAGCTTCAAACGACCCGCGGACATCATGCGGAAGAGGTGGAGGAGATCCCGAAGCGACGCCGGTGTCCCCTCCAGCCCGAGCGGACCGGAGTCCGCTGGCAGCCCGGGACGAAGCGGCTCATCCCCGGCGTGCGTCCGGCCGTTTTCCCCGGGCCCGCTGTTCAGCCGAGGGGGCACCAAGCGCAGGAACCCGTTCTCCAGCATCGAGAACACGTACAGCCCCAAAAAGAAGATCCACATTCTGAACGAGGACGCGAAACCCGGCGACGATCAGGAGGAGGACGTGTCAACAAAGAGAGAGTGTCGAGGAGTCTCGTCCTTCAGTGCGAGTCTGACCGAGGCAGAGAGACACGAGCACCGAGAGGTGTCCTCCAGGGTTTGTTGTTATACTACACTTATAATGCATGTATGTGTGTATAATGCATGTATGTGTGTATATCTACACATCTATAATGCATGTATGTGTGTATATCTACACATCTATACACACTCATCCACTTCACCCAAGTGCATCTCTCTACAAAGGGGTATATATTGTCAGAATCAGAAATACCTTATTAATAAATTCAAATGTCAGGTATAAACACAGCCATCTAAAAGTCAGGTAAGACTAAAATCAAATAAAAGATATAGATATGTAGAAATAAAAACCGGGTATGTATAGATTTACATTTGTCAAGTCAACTTTATTATCAATAATGCCATATGTGCAGGACATAAAATATAAAAAATAGATGTAATTAAAAGATATCAAGAGTATAAATATGGCAGGATGAACAGAATGAAGGGTATAAATATACACAGAATTATCAGTGGAATAAAAATATGGCAGTATGAACAGAATTACAGTATAAATGTAAATATGGCAGAGAAAAACAGGATGAAGAGTGCAAACAGTGTTGGAAACAGTTGGTGTACAGTAGTTGATTTGTACATGAATGTAAGTTAAAGTATACGCAGTATACAGTAAGTAAAGTATTTGTAATTCTCCACCATGTCCACCCTGGCCCCTTGGATGGTAACAGGGGTCACTATATACATATTGTCTGTATTTGTATTGCCTATGTAAGTATATTTTTAATATTGTCATTCGTAATATCTGCTGCTGTAATGAGTGAATCGACCCTGGCTTGGGATCAGTAGTTGCTATCCCCCCTAACTCTATATTCAACTCAGGGGCTGATCCAGGATTTTTCTAAATCAGGGGCCATAAAGGGGCCCTGAGTTTTATATGTCAGGTAAATGCCTGATTCATTAAGCTGCACTAAGGTGCTTTATAAGTCATTGCTTCTTTATTTTCAAAAATGGAAGGTTATTACTAGTTTATTTGGGCACTTCAGAGGCCAATCAGATTTCAGGAGGGACCGGTGCCCGCCCCCTGGCTCTGCCTCTGATTCAAACCTAATTTTAAGGTGAAACATTCGTTAGATGATTGACTGCTCCACATAGACACACAGCAGAATCCTTTGAATTGAAAAAAATTCAATAAAATCTACACAAGAATCAAATTGAACGGATATTAAAAAGTATGTGGTTACAAAAAACTTAAGTTATTTGAAATTGAAAGATCTAATCCCATATCGCTATGGTTGTAATTTGATTTCTTGTGTCTCTTGAAACAATGTGGTTTGTTTTCCCGTTTTCACTCGTCTGTCCTCTGTCCTAGAAATGTCTCACTGTCTCTGAGGATGACTCTCTGTTTGAAGAAGAGGATGAAGACGTTAAAAGTCCACTCCTGAAGGTTGTATGTTTGTTCCTGCACTCACAATCCATCCATTCAAGATGTCTGTCTCTCCATCTCTTTAACGTGCTTGTTCAATCGATCAACCTGTTCTCTCCATGCTCTCCTCCCAGAGTCCACAGGCCATTGCTCCTGCCTCCATAGCTCCTCCCGTCTGCACAGAGTATCCAGCAGACTGGAGCCTGAAGACTCGCCTCCTCTTCACCTCCCCGCTCCCCCTGTCGTGGGCCGAGCAGCCCAAAGCCCAGGAGGAGGCTCTTGGGCTCAGCCAGCATTGTAGAGCTCAGTTCACCACCCTGCCTCACAGTCTACAGGTAACCTTTTTCGCGTCATTATCACACGTGAGTAACCTTGCGTCTTCCAGACGATGATTTTCAACCTCGGGCGTCGCTCCGTGGATCCCCTCTGTTCCCCTGCAGGATCCCAGGTCCTGCTCTGAGCTTCGTTGTGCCTTCCAGCAGTGTCTGGTCTACTGGCAGCATCCCTCCCTGCCCTGGATCTCTCTGTTCCCCCGGATCAATGCTGAGAGGCGCTTCACAGGGAAGAGCACCCCCTGGGCACAAAATGCATCACTGCAGCAGAGTCTCATGAGCGAATGGTGAGGCAGGAGATGGTAGTTTTAAGAAACATCCATATCACTACTCCAGTGCTGTGCAATGGAGAGCAGCTCAAAAATAAAAAATAAACAGATTGAAAATAAAGCGATTCAGTGATATAATCCCATCGCATCAGAATATACAAGCGCTAACAGCTGGGTTGGAATGGAGAGGGGCTAAGATTATATCATATATCCTATTTAATTATGGATTTTCACATCACACATTTTCTGAAGGTGTCATAAAAAGAAAGAACAGAAGGAGAGTTACAGTGCAAAGCCATGAAGTATGTGTGGCTGAACCTTCTGCGTTTTCTCTCCGTTCATCTCTCCTCCACAGGTCAGTCAGTCTATCATCTCTCTACAGTCTCCTGAAGGCCAGACAGTGTCCTTACTTCTACCTCTGCTCCTATCAGGTAGCCCTTTGTGTTTTCTAAATCATCAAATTGCTGTCCCGTCACAAAACAGAATAAACGAGTGTCCCTGTGTTCTTTTCTGTGGTGTCAGTTTACAGTGTTGTTCAGGGCAGCAGGTCTCGGTGAGTCCAGCACCATCACCGCCTTGATTACTCCGACAACTCGAGGTCTCAGAGAGGCAATGAAGGCTGAAGGTGAGCCTCATCTTTACACACATTAAAGTATTAATACAGTAACTAGGAGTCGCCAATTAGATACAACTTAGAAGAGTTAATATCCTATGTAAAGGCTAAAAAATATATAAAGATAA